AGATACTCCTGATATAAGGGTCAGAATTTCTAGCAGTAAACTAAGCAAATTCAAATTCCTGCTCTTAAATAGGAGTTTCTAGAAGAGGACTTCTTAATATTTTTGTCTGTGTGTCAAGAACCCAGTTGGCAGCCTGATGAAGCCTGTGGAACTCTTCTGAAAATAATATTTTTTTAAAATCCTCATAATTGAAAACAAGTCTAATATTTGTTAGAAGACAGTGAAAATAGGGGCAGCTAGGTGGCACAGTGGATAGAGCTCTGGCCTTGGAGTCAGGAGGAAGTGAGTTCAAATCCAGTCTCAGACACATGACACTTACTAGCTGTGTGACCCTGGGCAAGTTACTTAACCCTGATTGCCTCACCAAAACAAGAAAAAAAAAAGAAGATAGTGAAAATAAATACTTTTCTCCCACCTAATTTCACAGACTTGTTGAAATCAATCTTTGGACCCCAGGTTAAGCAATCTTACTCTAGAACCTCCAAATCTAAAACAATTTGACATCAAAAGAGCCCATTCTAATCTATGAAAGAAAGAAAAAAGGCTGATAAAACTGTTCGGATATCATGGAGAGCAAATAACTACTTGATCAAAATTTCCATTTTTAAACATCTGTTTCAAGTAGAGTTAAAGTGTTTTGATTTGCAGTGCATTTCAGAAGATCAGTACTAAATTCATCAACATATTCAACACTAGATGTCAAGGCTATTTGTATTTTAATAATTCCATCCTCTATTCTCTTTCCTTGATACACTTATGGCATACACTTGCCTAGAATTCTGGCTGAGCATAAATCAAGTAGTATTACAACACCAATGTAAGTATGATTAAAGTCTTTATGATAATAATAACCAAAAATTTTATAGAGCTTACTCTGTGCCAGTCACTGTGCTAAAGGCTTTATGATTTTTATCTCATTTGATCCTCTTAACAGCCCTGGGAGGTTGGTGCTATTATATCCTCATTTTACAGACACTGAATCAAACAGATGTTAAGTAACTTACCCAGGATCACACAGCTAGTAAGATCTGAGGCTGAATTCGAACTCTGGTCTTCATGATTCCAGGCCATTGCTCTGTCTGCTGGGATGCCTAGCCAATCATTTTCTTCTATCAAAGCTCAAACCCTTAAATCTGACTTGATTGTAAACTCCTTGAGGGCAGGGACCCTGTCTACCTTAACCATCATTACTCTCCCAGTGCCTAATATAGTGTTTTGTAAAAATGTTTCTTTGACAATATTTTTTATCTTTTCATAATCAACATTCCTGATTGCATTATTCCCTCCCTAATAATGAGGCAACCACTGTAACAAAGTTTATAAAAAAGGAAAAACATTCCAACTCAACCAACAAATTGGAAAATTCTAATATTATTTGCAGTGTTCTACTCCTTCCCATTGTCAATGTTACTTGAAAGACTGAATGGAATCGAATTTAAAAAGTAGATAAACTGGGGCTCAGTGTCACATCACATAAATGCCCAGTTTCTTAGTTTCCCCATATGAACTATAATATCATTTTCCTTCCTCCATCTATTACATTGAGTTGTTTCAAGTGAAGAAAAGATGGATATGTATGGATGCATGCATATACATATGTATCCATTATATATATATGTATATAAATATATATATATATATTACATATAATATGCAGCATAGACACCATTTCCTCTGAGTGCCACAGAATTGATGCTTTTGAACTGTGGTGCCGGAGAAGACTTTTGAGAGTCCCTTGGATAGCAAGGAGATCAAATCAGTCAATACTTAAAGAAACTAATTCAGGCTGTTCACTGGAAGATCAAAGATTAAAGTTAAAGCTTAAATATTTTGGCCACATAAGAAGAAGACATGATTCGTTGAAAAACGCTTCGACCTTTGGAAAGATTGAAGGTAAAAGGAGAAAAGGGACAGCAGAGAATGAAATGGACAGATACTGTCATGGAAACAATGAATATGAGCTTGGACAGACTTCAGCAGTTAGTAGAGGATAGAAGGGACTGGTATGCTATGGTCCATGGAGTCACTAAGAGCTAGACATGACTGAACAACAACAACATTTTCTCATTCTGTTGCCCTACTAATTGCCCTTATTTATTGTTGTTGTTGCTATTGTTATTGTCATTGTTCAGTTGATTCAGACACGTCAGGTTTTTCATGCCCCATGTACCAAACTGTCCATGGAGTTTTTTTGACAAAGATACTAGAGTGGTTTACCATTTCCTTTTCCAGTGGATAAGGCAAACAGACATTAAGTGATTTGCCCAGAGTCATGCAGCTTTTAAGTATTTGAAGCTGGATCTGAGCTTGGGTCTTCCTGACTCCAGATACAGCCTCTATCCAATGAGTCACCTAGCTGCCTACCCTTATGCATAGATATGATCAAATAAATATTTTCCTCAAAAATTTTCAGTGATTCTCACTTGGTCATTGTCCACTCAGGGAATTTTAAACAGCTTAGCTTGGGATACAAAAGTCTGCATAATCTGATGTTACTCAATTTTTCCAACTTCTACCTTATGTTTGATGGTCTGGCCCCAATGGCTATTTTCTGTCCTTCAAGTATACCCAATGCTTTTCCAACTCTTTGTCCTTGTGTACTCAGTTCTTTATATATGGAATGTTATCCCTCCACCTCTTGCTTGTGAAATTCTTGTAGTTGCTTTAAAGTTCAAATTAAATGTCCCCACCCCCCCCCCCCCCTTCCCTGATCCTCTCAGTTAATGATGACATTTCCTCCCCCCCAGACCTATATAAGACTTTGTTTTGCATCTCTCTAATTTACTCCAATCTGATTTTGCCTAACAGTTATCCGTGGATATACCCTATGCCTCTATATCCCTATAAGTTGCATGAAAAACGGAATGAATCTTTTTCTAAATTTTTGCCTCTCCTCTAGTCATAGATGCAACATTTGAATTCATATATGTACATTTTAAATGGTTGTACAATTATTTTATTGAATTTAATTTATTTGATGTCAAGGAAAATTAATGTATTTCTTCTATATATTTCAAAATTTTGTCGTGTCTACATAAATGTGACTCCTATCTTTTTTTTTTTAAATGAACTATAACACAGCTTTGGTTACTCTCTGACCAATTTATTTCAGTAAAGATAGATATGTATAGATGCACACACATGTGTGTATGTACATATATATGGTAGAGAATATGTATGTATGAGTGTACATAAATGTACACCCATATACTATATTACCAATATATATAAAAAGAGAATAAATTTTTTTAAAGTTTTGCTCTTGAGAAGATGATATTATACTAGCCCAGCCTCCTTTTCCTCAAGATAACTAATTGCCATGCTTCAGTGATGAACTGGAGATTTCTACTTCTGTTTTCTCTCTTCCAATGTGAGGCAAACTCTCCTTGCCTTTGAGAGTCACAAACATCTGTATAACCAACTCTGACAGCAACAGGATGGAGGAGCTGAGAAAACTTCTCAGCTTCTTCAGTATCAACTGAATAATTAATTAGTATGTACTAATTAAGGAGTAGACCAATCCTCTCTTAATAAGAGCCTTAAGCAAACAAACATCTCCATGTCATTCCCATTCATCTGGGACCAACTTCAGGAAGAAGATGGATAATCATAGAACAGAAAGGAGGCATGTATTTGATTCTACAGCTTGGGGTGTTTTTAGAGATCAAATAAATATTCTGTAACAAGTGGGAATCAAACAGCTTTCTTATGGTATATTTTTGAAAAAGAGAAAAGCCTCTGAATGTTCCTTCCACATCTCTCTCTTGTATACACATGGTCCTCTTTCCTTACTTGGGCACACACAAAAGCAAACTGGAAAGCAGAGGAGAGGTGCAGAAATTCTGTAATTTTGAGAAGATTGGTACCATAACAGGCTGAATTGAAATACCATATTAAAGAAAAAGTGTCTTTGTACCATTTGCTATGTACTAATCAGATACCATCATGTATACCCTAAATAATTTATCTGGATTCTATGAAGATTTAATCAATCTATACCTTTTTTTTCTACATTCACCCATTCCTGCCCTTGACACTGGGAAACCCAAATTGAGTAAAATGTTAATAAGCCCTGAGCAGAGTAGAGAGGGCAAAGTGTTGACATTTAATAATTCTTAATGGTGAGGAAGATGAAACGTTGTAATACTTTTAAGTATTGAGGGATGAATATGAATAGACCCCATGTGATTTGGCTCCAGGATATAACTGAAACAAAATACTTCGTTTGGTAGTATCTAATGGAATCTAATTCAGGTAAAGTCAAAATAAATGATAGCGGGGAGGGAAGGGAAAAAAGATGGAGGAAGGAGTGAGAGAGAGAGAGAGAGAGAGAGAGAGAGAGAGAACTTAACCTCTTCTTTATGCCAAACTAGCAATCTGGCTAAAGTCTCCTCAGCAGGGTCCCTCATTTCTTGTTAAATGACCTATTACAGGGTTGGAGGAGGGATGTGAGAGGAGATGAAGAAGGGGCTCTGTTTACATTACTCTCTTTAAAATCTGGGTGATGCAGAAAATTCAATCCTGTAATTCCTTCTGAGCTCAGCATGACAACTCTACTTTGGATCCAAATGTTAAGTTAACAAATCTTTTCCAGGCGTTGATGTGAGGCCATAGGCATGCCAGTTTGCCAATTGCTGGTAAATGAAGTTTGCTGCCTTGTAAGCATTTAGAATGTGGCAGCCTTGTGACATTTCCCATATAAAATGGGACTTTAAAAATGAGAAAAAACCAAACTTGATTACAGAAATGCAATGATTCCTCCTAGAATTGTCACTATAACCTATAATGAAAAATTGGAGAGATATCATTTGTTTCCTTTCCTGATTGTCTTTCGAGGGAGGGTGGAATTTATCTCTTCTTTTTCAAACGTTAGACAAAATCAGTTGTCCAAGGATAGAAAGCAAGAAGGAAGCCCTTGTCTTCCTATCACTCTACACACGTATTCTTGTTTCCTATCCAATGGGAAACTGAAATAACTTACTTTTGTCTTTCTTTTCCAGGTATCCATCCAATGGATTAAAAATCCAACAAAATACAACAATAAATATGCAACTGCCTTCAAGAGAGACAAAACCCTATTTTAATAGCTTGGATCAAAAGGACCTAGTGGGATATTCATCCACAAGGGCCAGTTCTGTTCCCATCATCCCTTCAATGGGCTTAGAGGAAGCCTGCATGCAAATGCCAGGTATTTCTGACATCACAAGCCTCAAATGGTGCAAAAACTCCTGTTCTGCTGAACTTGTCAATGTGAGTGGTCCAGTCAGCAATTGTCTTATAGTAGAACAACAAGAAGTAAAAATATTGCTAGAAACTGTCCAGGAGCAGATCCGGATTCTGACTGATGCAAGAAGGTCAGAGGACTATGAACTGGCCAGCGTTGAAACTGAGGACAGTGCAAGTGAAAACACAGCCTTTCTACCCATGAGTCCTGTGGCCAAATCAGAAAGAGAGGCACAATTTGTCTTAAGAAATGAAACACAAAGAGACTCAGCCTTGACCAAGTGACTTGGGAAATAAGGATCTGTGCATTCAATGCTTTGCTAAACAGGAAAGAGAGGAAATTAAATACAAATTATTTATATGCATTAATTTAAAAGCATCTACTTAGAAGAAACCAAATAGTCTATCGCCCTCATATCATATAGTGTTTTTTAACAAAATATTTTTTTAAAGGGAAAGAAACATTTCAGGAGGGATAAAGCTTACATCAAAAGCTTTTTGGTAGGATTCTGAATACACTTTCAGTTAGTTTTAGCACTGTTCTCTTTGGCTCTTAGAAGGCTTGGGCTATGCATAAACAGCACTCTAAAAGTTCAGTATTGGCCTTAGATCCATTTGGGGTTTCAAAGTTTAAATACAGAATACTATTCACTGAATGCAGACTGTTTGGTGAACAGGTCCTGCAGCTTTGCCGGAACACGCTCAAACCTTTAATTTCTTGTCCACCCGATAGGCTCACTGAAGGTTCCACTGTGGCAATAGATTTTAATATTCCCTATTTGATTTTGAAATAATGGCACAAAAATACCTAAATTCTGAACAGTCAGAAGCACAGGAGTTGCAGGTGCCCTCCAAAATGCTTTGGTGCCCTATGAGAGAAGAAGAATTTCAAAGGGTGTTAAAGTCCTAGAACTTGAAGGAGTTCTACATACGGTACTGGTATAAACAGTCAACCACCATAATTTGTCACAAAATATACTACATAAAAAGTCAGCCTTTGAAGCTCTTGATTTTCAAAGGAACACTTGTAGGGATATGTGTGTATGTATGTGTGTCCGTGTGTCGGCGTCCTTGCATGTACTCACATGAACCTGTGTGTGTATGTGTGTGGGCTTTCTTTCCCCTTAACTTTGATATATTATTTTTCTTCTGAGATAAGTCAGGGAATCCAATATTCAGCCAAATGTATTTCCATTTTAAGTCTAAATTTTATTTTTTCTTTTACTTTTTGCATTATATATAAATTTAGTAAGTTCCTAGAGCCCTGGGCCCTCATGGTGGGTTCCTCTTAAGGTCTTAAACATTTCTCTGTCACTTTTTTTAAGAGGAAGAAAAAATTTCATCAGATGACATTAAATCATGCACTGACTAAACTAAAGGTGTATTATTTTTATTATTTTTGAATTATATCTATTCATACAACTAGCTAGATAGTCTCATCTTCATTGTTAAAAAGACTGATTTTTTTTAATCTAGTCTAATCCACATGAACTAAGGCATTTGGCTTCTCTTATTAAGAAGGGAGGGGCAAATTACTAGAATGACATAGGCACAATTCCTCAGTTCGCAGAGAACCCCTTGCTGGCTCAGTAAATTGTGGTATATGTTCATTTGGAATAGAGCAATATTTTGACCAACGTCAAGTCAACGTCAACATTTTCTAAAGGTTTATCTTTTATTTCCCTTTCATAACACATTAAGGAAAACTAGCTTTTCCACGATTCAGTATTTTTTTCGCCACCTGGACAATTTTCGTTAATCTACCATTTCTGTGGCTACAATCTTTACTCTGTTTTCTCTTAAAAAAGGGCAAAGAAATTGAAAGGATATCAGAAGTCTGAAGCAATTTGCTTCAGGTTGGAGAATATTTGCTTAGAATTTCACATTGTAGATTATCATTGCACAGAAGGGCTTTGGATTATAACCCCTTATGAAGCAAATCTGGATACCACACATTTTATTGTGGATTAATTTGATATTGAAAATGTAGTGTGGGATTGCTTTAGAAGAAAAAATGTAAGAATTTAGTGATGTCTTTCAAAAATAAGATTAGCTTAATCCAAGTAGAGTAGGAGGGTCACAAATTCACTTGATTGTAAAGAGGGATCTGAATTAGGTGGAGTTACTACTTTGTATTCAGTGGAAGAATGTGTGTCTCTTATATGAACTACCCTTATAAGTTGGTACACTGATTGAACAGAGAGGCATTAATGGCAATAATTTAACAAAGACTTATGTCCTTTTTGTTTGTTTGTTTTAAAATGCCATACTTAGATAAGTTCTATGTTTGAATGGAAAAAAGATTTAGAAAGGTAAACTTGTAAGTGGTATGCCCATTCCCCACATGTGTAACTTCCTGTTGGATGGAAGTTATGATTTTGCCAGTGTGTCCCCATAGAATGGGTAGGCAGCACAGGTGAGTATGTGAAAACACTTTGGCCATAGGTGTATCCACTACAATGGGATCTGTTCCTCAGCTACACCTGTGTACTGTTCAGCTAGCTGGGAAAAGTTATGCAATGTGTGATGCATAATAAATTCATTCAATATCTTAATTGTCCTGAAAAGACTGAAACTAGCCAATTCCAGCCAAGGTTGGTTACGTTTTCTCAAATATCTCTTTTAAGCTTCTCTCGGTGAGAAAGTTAAAACAACCCTATGCTATTTAAACTATGAAATGAAATCCCATGTATGTGGGATTCGAGGCATCAAATAGTGCATGTGCTATTAATCACACAGTATACTCCCATAGAAATCCTGACATTATCATGTAAGTGGACATGATGGAATTATTCAACTGAGTTCTTTATCTGAGTAATTATCAATTAATTTTTAGGCAAAAAATTCCCTAGCAATTTATCTGTTTAGTTTCAAAGACTTACTCTGCTTATTTTGAGAAATGTCCCATTTCAAAAAATGTACAAGCAGAAAATATGTATGCATATGTATGAATTTAAAAGATCTCCATAGAAACACTTTAAAAGTCATCTTACACAGCAAACACCTGGAACTTGTCAGTACCTTGTCCTTAGAGCTCATTTGCCTTCTGGCAAATCTTTGTGGTTTAATAAGACACTTCTGATTCTATTTTTTTTTTTTTGAAATGTCTTTCCCTCCACCCCTGCTTCTTTCTTGTGTGAACAAGAAGCCTCAATTTAATTGAATTTATTATTCATTCTCTATTTTGGAATGAAGTTTGCCTATTGTGTTATATTAAGGCGCTTCTTTCTGTCCCTTCACTAAAAACAGAGTTATTATTTGCCAGGGATTGTGGGAAAATGTTAATGTCATTGATGAACGGGAGATGGAGGGTCTTCTGGAAGAAGGACTAATGGAAGATTAACATCCAGAACTTGCCCCTCATTTTCTTGGGGAAGGGAGGTACGGTGAGTTACGTTATGTCTCTGTGGGTGGTCATCTCTCCTTGCTTTGAGTTAAGGACTTGTCATTTGCAAATTAATCACATATCCAGTGTGCTCTCATTATTTTAAGTTGCAAAAGAAAGATGTGGACCGAATGAAAATTTTTTTCAAGGCTTCATGAATTTTGTGCTTCCTTATAAAAATCAACCTGAAAAAAGAGAAAATAATAAAGTTCCAACTTGCTTAGGGAGAGCCCACATTGGGTAGCCATGACCACCTAAAGATTCAGCTGATTCAGATTGAGCTCCCTGAATCTAGACCAACCTTGGGAAAGCTGTACCAAGTGAACCTGTCAGATGTAAAGAGTAGATTGAATTAGAAAACAGGGAGGGAGAAAGAAAAACAAAACCTTCCTTCCCTTCTTGTTATTCAAATGTTGCCAACATCATTCATTTCCGTTTCAATTACTTGTTAAGACTAGCTTTTGTATCCCCACTCCTAGTAATTAAGGTGGCAGAACTGTTAGCATTATGGGTCTTTCACTGTTGTCAGCAATGGTGGTTCCCTTCTAGCCAAGCCCTAAAGACAAGGAAATATTGCCCCAGAACAACTGTTGTGAAACAAATTTTCCAACTAAATCTATCCTACGTATAAGAGGGGTAGGGTTTTTGTTTGTTCTTTTGGATATGGGAAACCTATATTTTATATATAATGAACACTTTTTTATTAACTATTCAATTGTGTAAATTCAGTATATGGTATACAACTACGGCATGTCAACTGTGTTTGTACTGTAGTCATAAGAATGTTCATTTGCTAGAGAGCCACAGACATCTGTGCTGTCCCTATCACTTAATGCATACCAACACACAGGAAGTCACAGGCCTTTGAATAAGCTTTATCTCTTCCTCTTTACTTCTTACTTTCCCTTTCAAAGAAACAGTGAGGGTAGAGAGGACTCTAGATTTAAGATCCCAAATTAAGTACTCCTGTTATCTGACTTTCTGGGGTTTTCTTCTAATTGTTAGTACATTCCTAACCCAATTTGTCCTGATTGTTCAAGAGTTTCCAACATTTCAAATATTGTATTCTCAACGAAGGGGGGTTATTTTTTGTTCTTTCTGCTTCCATTTTTATCCCAAACAATACTGATAAATCTGGTTTCCAAGTGTTTGGGCGCTTGTCTTGTTCTTTTTGTTTGTTTAAACAAACTTCACTTTTTCAGGTCTTTTCCCCTGCTAACCCACTAAAGACAAACAGTGACAATGTGACATGGAGTCCCAATGATCTCACATTAAATGAGAGGCATGGCCACTTGGAAATGATTGAAATTATTCCCACGTTTTTGATCCTCTTCTTTCTTGGACAAGCAGAGCTAACAGTTGGTAGAGAGCTTGGGATAACCCTGGGGTAAAATCCCTGTTAGATTTCCTCTTAGGAACTAAGATGTAAAATTTTGTGTGTATGATTGCTGTCCCTAAAGTGTATAATGGTCTCAAATATATATATTTTTACACTTTTAACCATAACGTATTTAAAAGGTGTCTAGAAAGTCACCTTTGAATTCTGTTCCCCAGCCTGTTAAACTGGCTAGCTGGTAGAATGGGGACAAAATGGGGAAAATTCTGAGTTAGTGCCAATGTTGGCTAATACTTATGAAGATACTTGGAGATCTGACCAGACACGTCCTTGGCAAAATGGAGGTCCTGCTTCTAGTCCATTTGGTAACTTGTCATAAATTACTGTATTGATTGCATGTGTATTGTTGCCTATGAAAGAATTAATTGTGTGATAGCAAGCAATCAGTGTTACTATTTGTTTGGAAAGTATTAGATAACTATCATAATGAAACTCATTACCAACAAAATAGTGTCCCACTTATTTTCAGAGACCAAGTCCTAATCTGTTAATTGAGGGGGCCTA